CGATTCGACTTCTACGGCAATTCTGTGTTGAATGCAGTACTTTGGGATATCTTGCATAATTCCCTACTGCATCGTACACAACATCAATATTCCACTTGTACAGGATCTTTTCCTGTTTGTGTGGATATAGATTGTCCGACAGACTTGCGTCCGGCATACTTGCGTCAAATCCCGACATCTTGCACGATCAAAGTCCGATCGCACGTGTCGAAAACCTCGTACTTGAATAGTTTCGTTTGGAACGTAAAAACTCATATTTCGTCATATCCCAACAATCAGCATAACCACAATCCATCACAAGTACACGATCAGGATACTTCTGTAAGTAGACAAAAATATGTAAGGCAGCATGAAAGTGACCTTCACAAGGCATTGTATTGTAAGTCAAGAGCATAGACACTTCAATACGACCAAGTTCCACAAGCCAGCGCAGAATACCGATGAGTTGCATGTAGAAAATAGCGGTATCATCATCGACAAAAGGAGTAGAATCAAGTTCCGGCTTGTATCCAGTGGGTAAAGTTGAGTAAACCTTTTTCTTCAAAGTCAGTTGCATTGGCGCAATTTGCTTCTTGACAACTCTTAGCGACTCTTGTAGGTACGCTTCAGATCCAATAACCCAGGTGAAATAATCATCACCATCCAACTTATGCTTTGAGATTGTTGCACCAAGATATGTGGTTGGCTCTTTTATCAAGTCAGGCTTTAAAACAAAGAAATTGTTGAGTTTGTCCATAATCGCTTTTGGATTCTCCAAGATTGCAATGACATCATCAGTATAAACCAAAATATACTCATAATATTTCGAACCATCTTTGCGTTGACAAGGACGACGCCAAACATCCATATCTCCACGACATGGTTGGAACTCCAATTGTTCCTTCAAAATGTCTGCACAGAGGCTCCTCCATGCGAATCCGGAACTTTTGAGTCCGTAAATAGCCTTAACCAGGATAGCTTTCTTCCCGGCATACTCTCCAAACTCCTTCCCTAAAATACAATAAACTTTCTCGGCACATTTGGCATTCAGATATGCACCGGAGACGTCAGCACTCAAAACATTCAAACCATTCAAAGCAGCAATAACAAAAGCAAGTCAAATACTTTCCCTTGTCACAACACTTGCATAGGTGACAGACATTGGAGGATCCGTTTGGTCCCCTCTAGCACATATTTGTGCCTTCCGTGTGAGATCCATCTTGACATCAAAAACAGTCATAAGCTCAATGAGCTGGTACCCAACGGGAACATCTTCATCTTCTTCCAGGATCTTCAGAGCTGGTAGGATTGTCTTCACTTCTTAAATCAAGGCATCACTCCAATGTGAGGTGCCATTCTCAGCATCAAGTTCATACGCACGTGCAACACCTTTCGGCCCAGGACCAGGCACCTCAATACCAAACTTTTCTGCCTTCTGTCTTTTCACAGCACGGCGCTTGTCAGCTTTCAAAACTCGATCACGCTTTCTCAGAGTGTAGGGAACCCACCACGCAAAGGCAGGCTCTGACACAAGCTTGTTTGCAACAGCGTATTCAGCGACCTTGATAGGAAAAGCTTCTTTTGCTACTAATAGATCAAGCCATTTGGTTTCTCCACCTTTCATCTCAGCTAATAATTTCCATCCTTTGGTTGTCTCTTGTGAACGCTTGAGACCGCTAGAGGTAGTATACCACCCATCATCCCCTCTAACTGCTCGTCCATCACGTTGATGATCAATAAATTTGCGAATCCGGTACATTGTGTTACCTTCATCATCGACATTCATCATTATCCCTTCAATAATCTGATTTGCATAGAAGCTTTCCACCTTTCCATCCTCAAACTCCACTTGATAGATAGACGTGTCAAGGTGTGGATTCTTGTGGTAGTGACCAATTAATTTTCCAGGTGAGTCACGCTTCCGACCTTGAACAACTCCAAAAGCCTCAACTCCATCTGCGTTAAACGATACCTTTGCAGAGACATATTTGTCAAACTCAACAGGATCTGATTCTTGATCTGGCGGCTCTTCAAAATCATCTTCAATCTTGTGGTGAGGAGTGGTTCAAACTTATCTGACTAAAAGCAGCATAGTTCCTGGCCTCTACAGCCGTATTACACCGGCAGTTGGATACTCTAGAAGTAGCATAAATACCAATTAATGATTCAGTTATATATATATGACTTATATGGTTGCAAATGTTACCTTGACCTTGTT